ATACATCTCCATGTGGAGTTGTGTCCAGAGCCCATGGACTTCACTCTGTAGGAGGTGTTGATGGTTATCAGTTTTAGCCAGAAGAATGGTGTAATCAGACTGATGCTTCAGGAAAATCATTAAGGGTCTAGAATAATGATTTAAAGCATCCGAAGTGAAATTGGAAGTAGTTATAAGTAAGAAATGAAGGAGAACCTTTCTAAGTCATCAGAAAGGGAATCGGGACTTGTGGAGATGTAGGAGGTACTTAGGTGACAGAGCTGGGATTTATAATGCACTGGGAAGGTAGGTGAAGAACAGCTAAACAGCCAGAATGCCTCCCAAATTTGTGACTGCTGACCAGGTGAGTGCCGTTCTATGACAATGCAGATGTGGGGAATGAGTAAACAATTCTGAAATGGATGTGTTGTATTGCATGTGCTTTAGGGCATCTAAGCAGAGCGATTAGGGAGAGAGACACAAATATGCCAGGAGCCAGCCTGAAAACCTTCCCTGCCAACACAGGGGTGAGGTCTATGCCTATGAAGGCTGGATGAGGTCATGAAAGGGGTAAGGGTATTCTAAAGAAGTGCAGAGCAGGGGGAAGAGCTGACCATTCTCAGAGAATAGGGGAAGAGCAGACTCCACCTAGCATACGGAGTAAGGGAAGGCTACGAAGCTGGAAGAAAAATCAGAACAGGGAGAACTCAGAAAAGGATGGCATCCCTGGAAGAACTGTCCACAGAGAAATTCTGACCAGAGTATGATGATACCAGCTGACCGTTTTGGATGGGGAAGGTTAACAATTCCAGTTACATACTAGAACATATATTGGTATATTGTAGACAACTCTTTGCTGAAAAAATTAATTGTAGTTTTTTTATTAAGTTTTATTAATCTCCATCTTCACTAATATTGTTTGTCTTATGCTTTTTATTCAGTGGTCAGTTCTTTGAGGGTAGGGTTTATGATTTATTCGCTTTTGATTGGTGGATTATGTTGGCACAAGAGCTTGCTACCACATTTATTGGATGCATAAATGCTACTTGTTTAAGTATCTGGATTGTAAACATTTTTGTGCCCAATGTGGGTCACAAACCCATGGCCCTGAGATTAAGAGTCTCATGCTAGCTCAGTGGGTAGAGCATGGTACTCTTATTTGCAGGATCATGGGTTCGAGCCCCGCATTAGGCACCATTATGTAAACAGAGACTGCACTTTCATTTCCTGCCAACCCAGGCCCAAATAATCACACAGAAACTATATGAATTACAGCACTGTTTGGCCAATGGCTCAGACATATTTCTAGTTAGCTCTTACTACATCTTAAATTAACCCATTTCTATTAGTCTATGTATCGCCACGTGACTGTGGCATTACCTAATTTTCTACATGTCTTGTTTCCTTGGCAGCTGGCTGGCATCTTCCTTGACTTCATCTTCTTTTTTTCTCTGTATCTCTGCTTGGATTTTCCACCTGGCTTTACTCTGTAAGCCACTGGCTGAAACAGCTTTATTCATTAACCAATAAAAGATATATATATATATATATATATATATATATATATATATATATGAGGGCATCCCACATTAAATATATTATGCTAGAAAATTTATGTAAACTCTGTTGCTTAACTTCCTGTCTTTTAAAATTGAACACACTGAACACAATATAATCTTTTCTTTGTTAGACTCACTTAATTATGTGTAGACAAGGTTCTTTGCCCTACACCAAAGTGACTTCACAAGAGTTGTTAGCTCAGCACTGTCTATTTCTCTTCTTTGGATGAAAATTTAAAAAAAGAACACCAGGCCAGATCAATAGTGTCAAATTTTTAAAATTCTGAGGTAATGATGTTTACTTGCAAATTAATTGTATAGAACCTATATAACTCTCAATACATTGATATAGTGTTCCCAGATTTGGTTGGATAAGAGAGACGAGGGATTGGGAATAAAGACTGGCGTTGGAGCAGCCTTTCTACCTAGCTAGTTGTGGAGGCATAGACAAGCTTTTAAAACTACTTTTCATGTACATTTCTGATCAAGTGTATTGGCTATATCTATAACAAAGAGCTATACCCAGAGGTTTTCTGCTGGACAGTGGGTGATTGCTGTCTCTGTTCAGGGTCCAAGCACTCTGTCATCCTAGTAAAGTTGGCTGTCACTCACACCCACGTCTTTGGAGCAGTGGTGGATGTTTTGCCTTCTAAGGAAATTTAGAAAATGGAAGTCTAACCTTCTACATTTTGTAAGAATAAACATACACATAACTCGTGAAGCAAGATAAGCATTGATCTTCTGCTTTAGAGGTTGCAGCCAGTTTTAAATCTAACCCATAGCTTGATGTAGATGTAAGAGAATCAAGCATTTATTTGTACTCTGACAAGCGGACTTTATAAATACCGTGGTAGTAGCAGTTTTAAACTCTGCATCTCAAGGCTGTCGCTAAAATGTGTAAACAAATTGTTAAGCATAGAGAGCTTATGGGAATTGATCATTCTGTGGCTATCAGGATCCTGACTGTAAAACATAAGGATGGTGTGTCATCTGCTTCTTTCAGACTGTTCTGGCCCAAGTCCAAGTGTTACGATTACTTATATCAAGAAGCAGAGACTCTCCTGAAAAACTTCCCAATTCAAGCTACGATTTCGTTTTATGAAGATTCTGATAGTGAAAATGAAATTGAGGGGCTGACCTGTGAAAATCAATCTAATTAGTTACTTCTGATGACAATTGAGCTGGATAGGATTTGAATTTTGTGTATAAATGTATCATAAACTTTTAAAAGTTATTTATTTGTATATAAATTGTTAATAAAACTATTTTGTAATCACCAAGTGTTGCGGCTTTTCTTTGTCCCAACACTAGAATTAAATGTTGGGATTTAAGCTAGGCATCACTGGGCTCTGGTACCCACAAAGGATACTTTTGGTCTTTTTATTAAACTGCAAATTTATCCTTAGTTACAATTTTTCAAAGAGCCATAGTACTTGTTTGCTTTTTGAAGACTGGCTTTTATAATGTCTGCTGTTTGTTATTGATCTCAATTGGATGTTGTAGTTATAGATGATGTAATCTTGGTAGTTAGTGAAGGAAATTGCATCCTGCGATGAGTGTCGTATATACTAGTATATGTTTGCTAGCTGATGGTGGAAATGCTCCAGTTAATCTTATTTCTCTTAATTTTTAAGGACTGTAACTAAGCAGAGGGTAGTATGACTCTCACCCTAATTCTCTCCTTTTGTCCTTGATCTGGTGCTCAATACTTACTGAAGGATTCCTACAATTAAAACAAAATGCTTGAATTGGAATTATTTGTATGGAGTACAGAAAAGTTCAGAACATGAAAGTATGTTTTCTTGTCTTAAGTAAAGCTAAGATTTTACAGACATGAATTTTCACATTATCCATTTCCCCTTTGCTCTAGTTCCCTGCTCACAATTTTCTCATATAAATATTTTCTTATGGGAAGCAAAACAAATTCTCAGTGGTTTTTCTTACATAGCCATCACATAAGAAACCTTACCCCATAATTGAATGAGGCAAAAAATGCACAGGTTTCATGGTTAAGGTGACATATAAGCTATAATCATGATGTATTTTTAGTTTATACATCATCATCAAGTCAACAGTTCAACTGCAGGTAAACATTTTTATTAACCTATAATCTGAGCTACTTGTGAGGATGAGGCAGGAAAGCCACAAGCTCGATGCTTGCCTGGCAATATCTCAAAAATATTTTTCTGCAATATTTGCGAATAAAGATGTGTAAGGTGGAGATGAGAGATAATCAGCCAGCTAAGAAGTACCTCTTGCTTGAATGACTAAACATCTTCACAGACCTTCTCTTATGATATTAAAACATAATTATCACAACTTTGACTGTCAGTAACTCTGGAGACTACATAATAGAAATAAATAATGTGTCCAGAGTCAGGAAAAAAATAGAAACCAGAAGAAATTGGAGAGTGTTATACAAAACTGTTCATTGGGAAAATGTTCTCTTTCTGTTGGATTTTACTCTGTGGACCTGTATATTCTCTCAGATTATGTAAAAGAAGGCCCAAGACATCACCAGCCCAGACCCACAACATTAGATGCTTCCCTTGCTAACAAATTAGGATAGTATAAGGAGCCCTGTCTTTTGTTAGATACCTATTACTAATCATATAGGCAGTGTGGTTTAGATATGGCCATTTATTTCTACAGAAACCCAAGCAGTAAGATAAATATTCCTTTAAGAAACTAAAAGCCTTACCCTCTCTCAGGAGCAGATTGTGGTGGGGTGCGGAGAAGGCAGAGGGAGCAGGTGCAGAGGAGGGAAGGAGAGAAGGGGTATTAGTATGTAAAAAATAAAAAACGAACACAGAAACTCACACAAACCATTAAGTATAAGAACAACACCCAAACCAAATTACTCCATTTAGGGGTGAGCTCCCCGCAGATTTCAGGGAAGGAGAAAAGCTACAGGAGGAGAAAGAATGTGAGTGTGTGGATGGTGTGGGAGACTGGAAACGTCCTTTATTTGTTTTCCAGAGAATGCAGAAAGGTGAAGTTTTCTCCTTAACCCACAGCAGAGGCTGCTTGCCTTAGGCTTCTTAGCTCAGGAATTTGTGAGGTCCTAGAGCTTAGTGTTTCGCAGGAGAAAAACATCCAATAATCTGAAAGTTTTTAGAGTGTTATTTTCTTCTATATTTAAACAGTCTGATGGTGTTGTTTGTCAAGGGACAGGCGCTGGTGTTCTGTGTGAACAGGAATCTACAGGAAATTACTGTCGGACTCGATCAGCACCAGGGCCTGGGAACAGCTTCACCCACTAATCTCCCAGCAGAAAGCTGTCATTTCCCTGTGGTGCTGAAATTTGGACCAGAGACTAATTGAGCATGCGCTGCTATCGCACAGTCCCTCCCCCTCCATCCACCGCTCCCATCCCATCCTCTTTCCCTCTGACTCCGCCCCCACCCCGCCTCCCGTGAGCGTGCCACGTCATGGCGCGCCTGACCCCTGGCGACCCCGGAAGTGGGTCGGGGGCTTGGCCTCTGCCCGGCCGCGGAGCCGGAGCAGGCGGTGGTGGCCGCTGGGGGTCCCGCCAGGCGATCCTGTCTGGTGGCGGAACCCGGACGCGGCCCGGGTCGCGGGGCCCAGGATGCTGAACGTCCCTTCCCAGGCTTTCCCGGCCCCCGGCTCCCAGCAGCGCGTCGCCTCCCAGGGGCGCAGCAAGGTAAGCGAGGACGCCGTTGCCTACTGAGTCTGTTCCTGCTGCTGAAACTGGTCTCTGTAGGTCCGCCTGGCACCCTGGGTCCGGCGTGGTTGCTTCCCTCCCTCAAGCTGCCTTCTCCAGTCTTTTGTTCTTTACTGCCAGAAGGACAGGGTTGAGCAGTAACGGCCAGAGAATCTTCGCTGCAAGACAGGTGACTAGGGAAGTCTGGAGTCTGCAAACCTCCCATCGGATTTACCGCCACCTCTCCAAGTCCTGCGCCTCTATGCATGTGATAGCCAAACTGTCCCAGCACTGCCTTTTCTAAGGGCACTCTTGGCTGACTTTGAATATGATACCATGCTCTTGAATATTTGTTGAATATGGTTACTGTTAGCAGCAGGTGGAATACGGATATATATTTACAAACTTCAATTTAAAAAATGTGCCCTGTGTTCACTGCAAGGCGAATGCTATTTGCTTATGTTATTTTGGCACTTCCTTATACTGTGACCACATCTTGGTGTTTTCTTTTGGGACTTCTGCCTTCTTGGGCACTTGATTTCTGAGTTTTACTTTATGTGACTTTGGTTACTTCACTGAACGTTCCTATTTTTCTTAGACCTGACCGTAGATCAGAAAACGAGTTGAGGTTTACATTTGTTTTTCAGAAGTCTGTGAACGCAGCTTTAATCATACATAGTATTTAGATGTTTTATGTGCTTACCGATGGCCACATATGTCCTGAGGACTTTTCCTATGTCCATTGAATCTTCGTAGTTACCCTACGGAGTGGGAACTTTTACTATCTCTATTCCGGATAAGAAGAAATAGGTTAGCAAAGGGTTGACATTAGTCGAGTAGGCTCGTGATGTGATTATAACACTTCCTTCATTGATGTGTGTGCATCTGTTCACCGGCCATGGAGTCATGGTGTGCAGGTGACATGGTCTGTCAGTGTCCCGCTGACAGCTGCTATGGCTTCTTTGCCATATGGACTCCCTTTCCTGAACCATAAGTCAGAATAAACTCTTTCTCCCGTAAGCTGATTTTAGTCACAGCAGCAAAAAGTAACTGATACAGTATGGTGTGGTGAAGATGCAGTCTCTGAGAACTTAGCCTGGGGCAGTACAGATAAGTAAACAGATAATTATAATTCATTCTTCAGTGGGGTGTTATCACCAAGAAGGGGTTGGAGTCAGATTGGAGAAAATACTGTGAGCAAGTGCCTGATACCAATGGGGTAATTTCTTCCCATTTGGCCAAAGCATTTGATAGAAGAGCTGACGCTGAAACACATAATGCAAAGCATGACCAGCTGTGAAGGGTGTGACCCACAGTCGAGGGATTTGCAGACATAACTGTAAGGAACCACTGAAGAAGAGACACTCATGATTTGTTTTGCGTTTTCAAAAGATTTGACTGCCCTGGGGATTACAGAATGGAGAGCCCAATGATTTTCTCTGGGATAGGAATTGTTTTTCTCACTCTTCACTCTTTAGTTGGAATTGAGACGCCAGAAAAACTTCATCAATGGTCAGAATGAGAGTGTGGAATGAGATGATAGAATGTACCCCAGAGATACTGACCTATATACTTTGGGGATAAAGGAATGCTTAAAATAGATATGACTCTGAAAGTTGAGTTAGACAAGCTTCTTTGTGTGTGCCTGTTTCTGCAGTACCGTTCTCATGGTACTTTGTCATGTGGTAATTGGACAGATGTGAAGAGTGGCCATATTCAATTCAGAAGATTTCACTAGATTATCATAAAAAAAATACTGGCGTACCTTTGTGAATACACTTTGTGTCATTGTAAGAGAATACCTGAGAATGGAGAAAGGACAGATTTATTTATTATAAAGGGAGGGTAAAGAAGCTCCTGTCTTGTCATAGCCTTTTGCTTTGTTGGATATGGTGAAAAACATCATGGGACAATAAACAACACAAAAGAATGTGTAACTTCAAACCCATTCATAATCAACATAAGCCCTCATAACCTAAATATGTGGGCCCCAACTTGGAGAGTATTACATGTGCTTTCGGGAGGAAGCACATTCGGATCAATCCTTTACCTGAAAACCTTGGAAGTGTATTTTATAAATGAAAACAGAACTCAGAATATTCTGTTACTGAATATACTGTAAGTAGGGTTTGGTAGACATTTTCTGCAAAGGGTTCATGATTCAATGCCTATGTTTTCTGTTACCCTAGTCAACAGCGTGAGTCCTCTTGACCTGTGTCTAAGGTGCATGCACTGCCCATCCCTAAGTCACTCAGTAGCCATCTTTTTTGTTACTAGATAGTCGAAAATGAAAGTCCTGGTCTTCAAGTCTCCATTAATTTACCTAGTAATGGCCCATGTGCTGGAGTAGCAATACTGGAAATTCTCCTGTGCCAAAGAAAAGCCATGAAATGCTTCCTATAAGTAGAAATGTGAACGTTCTTAGTAAGAAAAAAAATTATCCACAGTTAAAACAATTTTCCATGAATTGTGAAGGAAAAAAGAAAATGTATGAATTTTTTTAAAAAAGTATCCCTAGGGTGTTTGGTGTTGCGCTTGGTTTCAGGAAATCTTTGAGGCAGGATTAGCTAATCTTGGTTGGAGGTCTCTGTAGGGAACTCATTCCACCGGACAAAGCTGTGGTGGCTAGTTTCTACACACACTGTCTACATTCACACTCAATACCAGAAGATAATTTTGCCAATTCCCTGTATCTGCGACACTGAGGGCCTTGACATTTCTGCCCTGTGCTTATGCCAATGACTTCTTCATTTATAACTTCCTCCCCTGTCCCTTGCCCCCTGCCCCCGCCCCCTCACTGCCCACACCCTCTGCGCAGTGCTAATCTTTCTCAATGCTATACCAGTGTGTTTGCAGAAGACATTGTTGCAAACTCATTTCTGATGTTTTGTGTATATTAATAACTCAGTAAAGGTCCACGTTAGCCAATCATTGCTGTATCTTCTATCAAGTGTCTTGATTGTTAAGGTCACAAATTTTGGTTCAAATTGGCAACAGTAACATAATTAGTAACAGAGGTAGGACCTGGACATCCCAGCTTTCTGACTTTAGATTTAGTACCAATATGAGGGAAATTTTTGAGAGAATTTCTAAGTCCTTTCTCATAGCCAGGCATCCTAAAAAATATTTTGTTTAAAATTCTAGGCATCTGAATTTCCTGAACCTCTTGAACTAGATGGAAGGGCCTCTCTCTCCCTGTAATAATAATAATAATAATGATGATGATGATGATGATGATAATAATGATAATAATAATAATTTAAATTACCCAAAGGTAAAAAAAAGTCAAAGAAAATAAAAGGGAGATTAAATTATAAAAAGAAAATAAAAAAGAAAGAAAGAGCCAGTGGCATCTTCCCTTTGTAATCCCAGTACACAAGAGGCTTGATGGCTACCAGTTTGTAATCAGCCTGAGCAGCTACAAGGCAGGACCTCCCCTGTTGAAAACAACAAATAAGGTAGATTAAATTTGACATTCCTCACACACAAGCGATGAGAGGATTTGCAGAATTGTTGGGCTTCAGTTTTATCTTTTCATTCATTTATATTTTAATAATATATATTTATATTTTTTGAGATGGGATCTTGTTGTGTAGTCCAGGAGAGCCTCAGCCTTGCCATGTTTCCATCTCAGCCTCTCAGGATTTCTTTTTAAAGGAGAATAAAAGGGCGACAAAGCCCAAAAGCAAGTCAAAGGAAGCGGGAAGGGAAGCAGCCAACTTGAAACGGATGTAATTTCTGTGTTCCACTCTTAGGTACCTTTAAAGCAAGGCAGAAGTCTTATGGACTGGATTCGACTGACCAAAAGTGGAACAGACTTAACCGGACTGAAAGGCAGGCTAATCGAGGTAACTGAAGAGGAGCTTAAGACACACAACAAGAAAGACGACTGTTGGATATGCATAAGAGGTGGGTGGTGGTTATTTAACACTTCAGAAACTTGCTGGTTTTCCACTGGTAATGCACACAGCCCAGTCAGGATTTGTTTCAAACCGTGACAACAAATTGCCTCACTGGTATAAGATGATGGCGTTCTCAGTTTGGACAGTATTCTTCCTTATAACCTTTTACATTTGATGCAGAAGATAGGGCTGGAATAGAAATCTTTCTTTAGCATCCCTATTGCATTCCCTTTGAAATGAAGCATGAGTTTCCCAAATAATTTACTACCAAGGCAATAAAATTAAAATGTTCAGTGACACCCAGTATGTGGAATAATTGCCCATCCCAGAGCCTGTGGTCTCTGAGAATCTAAAGGAAACCGTGTGTGTGTTGTATGCACGTGTGCATAATTGTGTGTCTATATGCACTTGCTGGTGCACATGCACAGTTGTGAGCACGCTGTTGCATGTGTGTCTGTGGAGACCAGAGTGTAATGAGATTCAGATTCAGATGCAGTGAGAACACTGTCTCAAAGCATAAGGAGGAGACAGCTGAAGTCAGCCTCTGGCTTCCATACAGATGTGCACATACCCCTAACTGATACAACACACGTACACAAAGAACCAGTTCATTGGGACTGTCATGTTAAGGTGTGGTAACAGAGCTTCAGAGTACATAACATACATTAGCATAACTGAAGGATAGAATTAAAATTTTCATTGAGTTGTATGTAGATTTTGTTCAGCAATTGTTGGAACTAGATAAACAATTGTAGACACAGTAATGAAAGTGGTCATGCAGTTTCTTTATTTAACACAAGGTGGCAGAGTTGTCACATTCTTTAGACTAAGGCTTAGCGACACTCCCATTTCTGTTGCTGAAAAATGGTGAGTTACACCATGTCTTTACCTTGTGAATGTATCTTTTTTCATCATGTTTTAGGGCCAACATAATTAACAATGCTAAAAATTCTAAGTAAGTGAAAATTCTGTTCTATAATGGCTTATACTTGCTACATACATGATCTACATTAAATATATTTATTGGATGAATATAATCTAGAACTTTAAAATTTGTTTGAATGTTAAAACCAAAAATTAGTTTTGAATGTTTACTTTGATTTTGTTTGTTTTTGTTTGTTTTTTGGTTTCTCTGAAGCTTTAGGGCCTGTTCTGGAACTAACTCTTGTAAATCAGGCTGGCCTTGAACTCACAGAGATCCTCCGGCCTCCTCCCGAGTGCTGGGATTAAAGGCGTGCGCCACCACCACCCAGCTGAATGTTTATTTTTACTTAACATTTACTTAACAAGTGTGTCAGACTTTTTTGGGATCTTGAAATCCCCTAGTCTTTTAACAGTTTTTGAGACTATTAAATGACTTTTGTTTGCCTGATTCTCTAACATTACTATTGACTAAAATTAAGAAAAGTAAGGAATATTCAAAATTAATTTAATAAAGGTAATAACCCTACTATTTGTTGTAAATAACACCTATGTTTATGAAAATAACTTTTATAAAAGAAAAATAGAGAAGTACATCACTTTCTTTTTTGGTAAATATCTCTAATGTATAGTTTAATGGATGACGGCTCATATATACTGTGGTGTTACTGTCTCCAGTCTGATATTACATGTCTGTTTAGCTTCTAGAAAATCTCACATTTATGAAAGGACAAGAATTCCAAATAAACATAATATTTTAGTTAGTTTGAGGGAAAATTTTCACCTTGGACCACCAGAAGTGTTTTTCCTGAGCTTGCTCTGGAGTTGTACTATAAGACTCTGTGACTCTGTGACCTATAGAAGAGAAGAAAGGAGAAATGTCGCCCAAAGTATGGTGAAACCATTAATTCTGTACGGTTAGCCACTGTGGTTCACAGGCATAATTACCTAACCCGAGACACTGGCACCTTCATCTGGGGATGACGGATAGGCATAGGTGTCACTTGGGGCTAACGCAGTGCTATCTGTAGGCACTGTCACATAGATCTGAGTGTGAGGTTGCAGTGGAGTGTGCTGCCATTCTGTATTTAGTCATCTGAGATAGTGTGGCCGCATGGAGGTTCTGAAGGTTGTAAAGGCTTTTCCTGTCTCTTTAGAGTTGGAGATAACTGAAAATCAAGCTCTCAGAAACTGAGACATTCAAAATTGCCATTGAGAAGGTTAAAAAGAAAATTGGTCACAATGCTTGGTACATATATGATAGACAGTAAATATATTTATTGAATGAATATAATCTAGAACTTTAATATTTGTTTGAATATGAAAGCTGAAATTTAGTTTTTAAAATATTTCCTTTTACTTATCTGAGTGCTGTCAGACTTTTTGGTCTTGAAACTCCCCTCCCCCATTCTTCAAATCGCCAAGCATAGAAAGCTGTGTATGAACATTTTTGTCTTTAAAAAATACCCAAGAGCTGGTTGTGGTGGCGCACACCGGTAGGATTTGCTGAAGGAGGCAGAGGCAGGAGGATCACGAGTTCGAGGCCAGCCTGGGCTACACATTTAAAAAAAAATACCCAAGACAAACAGCTTTTTATAAAAGGTTTATTTAGCCAACATTTTCAAAGGTTTCAGTCATGGTCACTTAGCTGTGAGGCTTTGAGGCCTGTGGCAAGATGTAACATGATGTTAGGAATATGTAGCAGAGGAAACTGCTTACCTTATAGAGGTAGAAAGACAGACAGGAGGGTTGGATCTTTAATGAGCTTGAGTTCCTTCCACTAGGCTCACCCAGCTGAAAGGATGTATGCTACACGTCAATACCACATGACCCATTACATTTCCTCCTAGATGAGTATGTCTAAGATTAGTGAAACCATGTATATCCATACAGCTCATACACATAAATACAACCTAAATGCCCATCCAATGATGAGTGAGTAAATTAAATGTGATTTATCCACATGGCATATTACCTAGCCGTAACAAAATGGATGAACCTTGCAGATATGCTACGTGGAAAAAGGAAGCCATATACGAGTATGTTTTGTATGATTGCACTTGTATGTAATGCCGAGAATAAGCAAACCTATCAAAATAGAATGTTGTATGTGTGTGTATGTGTGTGCGTGTGCGTGTGCGTGTGTGTGTGTGTGTGCGTGTGTGTGTGTGTGTGTGTGTGTGTGCGTTTGTCCACAGAGGAGAAAAGGAGAATGCTACTGTGTGTTGCTAAACTATGTACCCATTATGCAGTCTGTGTCCTCTTACAAGGGTTCCTGATTCTTGACACTGTCAAGAGAGCATCTTCCTCTTAAAGTATGCTATCTCCTGGTTTTAGTTTATCTTTTTTAATTGAAAATAGATTGCTTTTCATGCAATATATTATTTACAGTTGCTTCTCCCCTAACTCCTCCCAGATCTTTCCTACTTTCTCACCTATCCAAATCCACACTTTCTTTCATTAGTATACAAACAGGCATCTATAATAATGATAATATTAATAATTAACACACCAGAATAGGGCAAAACAAAGAAACATAAAAAAGAGCCAAAGTAGAAGCCTAAGAAACATGTACACAACCTGAGACACACATTCTCACACATGCACACACACACACAGTTACACACACGTTTAAAAAAAACCTATGTAAGCAAAATTGTAAACCATAATATATAATAAGCAAAAGATCTGTACGATTTTTTTTAAAAAAAGGAAATGCCCAGACAAAGCATTATGAGACAAAAATTTCCAAAAATACCACTGAGTTCATTTTGTTTGGCTGCCTACTGCTGGCCATGGGGTCTATCCTTAAGTGTGGTTTGTGTACCCTATGAGACTCTGTTGGAGAAAATGAATTTTTCCTTTGTGAGCAGTTATCAATTGGAGATAACATCTTTAACTCCATCAAAGACCTCAGAAGGATATAATATTACCCAAGTAAACAGCAAGTACAGTGCAAGCCACTTCCAACCCTATAAAAATTATAGACATCTGACTGCCTAGACAGGCACCCAAGGTTCCTCTGCAGTGTTGAGGCATTTAATCTTTGGCCTGCAGGCCTAGAATATTAGGCAGATTCATCTATAAAGCAGGAATTTTGAAGAATTGATCTGCCTAGTCTTGACAAAGTTCAGCAGTCACTTTTCTGGGTGTCCTGCAGAATCTCTGGCAGGCTTTTCTATGAAGCAGGAATGTTAAAGGACTATCTCACCTTATCTTGGCAAAATTAAACAGTCTTTTTTCTTTGTGTTCTGCTTCTCTAGTTTATACAGCATACTGTCAGCAGTCAAGGCAAGAACAGTTTCTTTCCCCACTGGCTAATCTTGCCATAATGAAAGCAAAATCCATAATGAGTTTCTTCTTTGCTCATTATCTTTGAAGTAAATTGATGCTACCAGGAGTATACGTGTCTCATCGTCAAGAAAAGGCCTATGTTAACAAAATATTTTAAATGTCATATTCTGTAGGTCTTTGAAATGTTTGAGGACCATCTATCTAAAATAAATCTCTGTTTGACCTTGAAAACATACCTAACATGACTAGTTTTGTTGTTACAGGTGACTAGTAACCTATATTTCTTTGTTATCCTAAATAGTTTATAATAATAACTTTAAAGGACTAGAAATTTACATTATATTGTTAAATGAGCTGCATAGATACAATACTTTGTTTAGAGTAAACATGTAAGTACAGTATGTTCTAACAAAAATAATTTTAAATTTGTGTCACTATACCAAAATCCATACCAACATAAAATATTTGAGATTAGTGGTTGTTAAAAAGAAGATTCAACAATCCATCCTTTTCCCCCCACTATTTCTACACTATAAGAGATCCCTGAATCTAATCTCCTTTATTAAGCTGTCTCCTTGACTATGACCAGTAACAGTCTGTAACCAACCTCCCTAAATTATGACAGACATCTATAACCCATTGAATGAAAAGCCATCCACCCCCACCTCTTGGGAATGTAGGTGTTGTGTTCTCCAGACTGCTTTTGTTGTTTGGGGATGCTGGCATCTTTAAGAGACCCTAGGAAAATAGGGGTAATGGCAAAGTCCAGTGAGAGTTAGCTGTATTATTTGCTGTACAGTATCTGTGCAATGGCAAAGTACAGGCTTATCTGAAGCCTTGGCTGGAGTAGTCTGTGAAGTTGGACCATCTCAGCCAGCAGCTTTGAAGCTGTTTTGGATGCAGAACTCTGAGGAAACTGCAGAGGCACTCTGAGATTCTAGATCACCTGGGCCACCCATTTTCACTAGTGTCTGGTCCCCTTCCTCAGACAACATATAAACATCCAAAGGTGACATGCATAGCTGCATTAACACAAGTATGGAATATATTTCTGGTGTGTATAAAAGTCAGTTAAAGATGATTTTTTTGTTTTATATTTAAGCAGGTAAAAGGCATCTGTTAACTTTAAAGTCTGTTTGGACTGTATAATCAAACTGTAATATAAATCTCTATCCATGCCATATGAAAGAATGGTATGTAATAATAACTCATGAGGACTCTGTAGCCAACAAGATTTATCATGTCTCATCCTGTCTCAGAGTTGTTCCCATGTCAAAGGATCAGCTTACACATTGCCTGCCCTGTGGTCTTTTTTTTGTCTTCCTCCCCCATATCTGAAGCCAAGATACTCAAGAGGTCTCACCCCAGTCAAGTCTGAGCTCTATTATTCTGGAAGAATTCCACAGTCTTTTGTTAACTGTGGAAACAAAAGCATAACCTTTCCCCTAACACAACACATTGTCCAACTTCCATTTTAAAGTTATGACATTTTTAAAATATATAGGTTAGTTTAATTTAGCAGTTTCCATAATCCAATGTCTTTTGGCAGCTATTGGGTTTTTGTACGTTAGCATTTAAAAAAATTTAAAGTTAACAAGACATCATATAGGACCCAGACTCCCTGTGTTTTCCATTTTATGTGACTTTTTTTTATTACCTTACTCTGTCTTTAAAGACTTCATTATTTTAAACTATTTTTTCTATGACTGCCTATCTCCATTTTCTTTTCCATAGGTCTATGTATATTGTTAAACACTGTAACCTATTTAGAGGGATTTTTCTATCTGACCCAGTGTTACTGCATATCTGTAACCTTTTCTGTCTGCATGAGCAAAGCCTTACACCTACCATGTGTAACGCTGGCAGCTCAAGCATGCAGGAGGTGCTGGGAGATGTGTCTCTGTACCATGGCCGGCATGAGTCTGAGACACAAGACTAGGAAGCCATGTTTGGCTCTGTTTTGTGTGTTTAGAGCTTTTATTTATTTATTTATTTATTTATTTATTTATTTATTTGAGATAGGATTTCTCTATGTAGCCCTAGCTGTCCTGGAACTAGCTCTGTAGACCGGGCTGGCCTCAGACTACAAAGATCCACCTGCCTCTGCCTCCCAAACCATGTGCCATCTAGAACCTTTATGTTAAAGCTTCCTCAGCTCTTATGGGAAATATGTGCTCAGATATTTCATGCCATTTGTAGTTGGGCTTTTTTGTCAGGACTACTGGCTCCCCAGTAATGACACAGAGACTTATTAATTATAAAAGCCCATCCATAGTTTAGGCTTGTAACTAGCTCTTGTAACTTAAACTAACCCATATCTTTTAATCTGTGTTCTTTTACGTGGCTTGGTTATCTTTACTTTGTAATGCTGTGCTACTCGCTCTGCATCCATGACTGACTTCTTGACAAGTCTCTGCTCTTCTTCCCAGCATTCTCTCTGCCCCGAAAATCCTGCTTAGCTATTGGCCGTATAGCGTTTTATTAAACCAATCACAGTGGCGTACTTCACACAGTGTAGAGTAATATTCCACAGCACTCAGGTTTGCGCCACCTTTACTTCCCTGTGGTGATGGACTGTCACCTCGATTTGTGAGCCAAATTAAACTTTTTCTCAAGCTGCTTTGGTCAGGGTATCTTATCATAGCACAGAAAAGGAGACTAAGCTGTCACCAGTAGCGTTTATTTCTGAGTAACCGGCAACAAGATGCTCAGACCTGCTGTTTTCTCATGTCACATTTAACAAGGTTCTGGGTTGTTTTTGTTTGTTTGTTTTATTGTTAGGAAATGCCTTTTAAAAGAAGACAAGATAGGTTGGGAATAATTCTCTGTATCAAAGGAGATAACTGGTTTCTTTCCTAATTAGCAAATTACTAATACATTGCCAAGTGTGATTGGCTTTTATGTCTTAGACCAACAAAACACTAACAGTCTTCACTGCTCTTGGAGATGGGTTCTGTAAACATCCCCAGCTTTGTCCATCTGAAGAAGATGGGAGGTTCTCAGATTCACAGAGTGGTCCTGGTCTGTCAGAAAGAAGGCAGAGTCAAGAAGGTTGTAAACATGAAGGTCTGCGGGGCCGTGGAGAACACATGGGTATGTCGAATGTACTGACAAAGCTGTTATTAAAGGTGTTTGAAAGAAAAGCTGGCTGTTGAAACATGTGAAACTCACGCATGGAGGACCATGTCTGGTGGACACGTTGGTTTTCAGTACTCTGACCAAGACTTGGTTGCCCAGAAAGTTTGAAATTTGTCTAGGAACATCCTGTGTCTTAAAAATCCTACTGGAGGTGATTTTGATCCTATTACCTCTATATTTCTTAACTGTGGATTTTGAAGCATTATCTTCCTAAATGTGATGGACTGCAGGATTCTCTATGAATTCACCGCCTTTAGTGTTTGCCTCTGTAATTTTGTACTGAACTCTAGATTGTAAGTTATGTCCTAAAGTAGAAAGCCACATAACTTTTTTTGGTAACTACCTCCAGGATTTACAACAGCCTCCTCTACCTCCAGGATGAATATATTGAATAATCATTTCAGGAGTTTGGGTTATTTAAATGTATGGAAGTCTTCCTGCATGAGGAATGAGTTTTAAATATTCAAACAAAAACAATTCTGCTTGCGCCTTTAAACTGTTTACAGGTGAATTTGTCTGCTGTTAGTTTTCTGGTGCAGATATAGAAAGTTTGCTTCCTTGATGAGGCCTCCCTCCAGTCAGCATTTCCTGCTTTGTTCCCTGTTCGTCTATTTTAAAAGATAAAAATGTAGTTGAATGCATGCATAGATTAAATAAATGTTTGGGGATGGTCAAAAAATGAAGGTCTGGAAACCTTTATTGCTGCAGAGATGAGGCAGGCCTTCCTTTACAGAGCAGGCCGAGTGCTCATCGGTGCTTAGCCTTAGTGAAGATCTGACTCGTGAAGAAGAAATCCGTCGTCCTCATCACATTTCCACCAGGGCAGTAGACGGCAGTGCAGTGAAATTTTATTTTTGTGGAGTGTGTGTGTGTGTACATTCAAAAGTCATGAGTTTTTTTTTTGTGTGTGTGTGTGTGCGTGTGTTGGGAAGCAATTCTGTGTGGTCTTTTGCATTTCTTTATGTTTTGTGAGCAGAGACTGTTCTGGACAATATTTTCGTGGATGCTTGAATGCTGAAAAAACCTGGTTAGTAACAAAAATGGGTTACTCGTGGGTCAACTTAATAAAGATCATGTCTCCCTCCAGAGCAGAGAGCAGGCACTCTCGCTGGCAGTTAGGAAGGATGTAGTGAGAGCTGCGGGCCACTTCCCACCTCTCAGCTCCCGGACTAGCTTTACCCGAAATAATTACACGGAAACTGTATTCTTTTAAGCACTGCCTGGCCCATTATCTGTAGCCTCTTATTGGCTAATTTTCACATCTTGATTAACCCATTTCTAATAATCTGTGTAGCACCATGAGATGGTGTCTTACCAGGAAGGATTCTAGCCTACATCCGTCTGGGGTCGGAGAATCATGGCGACTGACTGACTCGGCTTCTTTCTCCCAGCATTCTGTCTGTTTACTCGGCCTACCTAATTTTCTGTCCTATTAAAGGGCCAAGGCAGTTTCTTTATTAACCAATGAAGTCAACACAAAACAGAAGACTCTCCCACATCAGAAGGACCTGAGTTTCCTAAAGTCCATGTTCCTCTCCTGGAGGAATGGGAGTGTGCAGGTCCACTAGGCCTGTTGCACATAGCTCTGTAGGAATTGGGGCTCAAGGAACTGGTGTAAATGTTGCTTTTCTAGTGCAGGTATCAATATATTAAACTTTCATGCTTTAACCAACAAGTCCCCTGTTGTTTAGAAGAGACCAGGAAACTGGCAGGTTAATTAGCTGGCTTGCTAGAGTGGAGAAATTCCAGAATTTACAGTTCATGAGACTTTGAAAATATGAGCTCCTAAATGGAATACTGGGAGTATTTATAGGTTTTATAATTTTTAGGAAGTCATTTGGATATTATTTCTGCTTGCTTTGGTGCAGGGCTTGTTTACAATGTCAGCCCCTATATGGAGTATCATCCTGGCGGGGAGGATGAGCTGATGAGAGCAGCAGGAGCAGATGGAACGGATCTTTTTAATGAGGTAAGTTTCTACAGGTAGTCAGAGCCTTGAATGCAAGGGTTAGCAGTGGCATATTTATAGGAAGAAACGCTGGCATTCATTTGAGATAGGTAAGCTTGAATTTTGAAATGCAGGCAGATGTTCACAGGTAGAAACTGTGTGATTTTTGAAATCAACTGTGTCAAAATTCTGAAGATGGTTTCAAGTATATGACATGTACTTTGAATCCTCTGCCAGCAAGACTTGCACTCACATTGATTTATTTTGGTAATGACAGTAATTGACTTATAGAAAACACCACCAGTGGGAGGAGGGAAGCTGGACCTGCTGTTACTGATCACTTTCGTTTGTTTTTTTAATTTAATTAATTTTTTTAGTTAACATACAGCATTCTTGCTTTTTCCTCATGGGGAAGTGTTGTAATAGGAGCGGCGGGGTGCTTCCCGCCACCCGGCCGCCCGCACGGCTAGCTTTACCCGAAATAATTACACGGAAACTCTATTCTTTTAAACACTGCCTGGCCCATTAGTTCCAGTTTCTTATTGGCTAGCTCTTACATATCGATCTAACCCATTTTTAATAATCAGTGTAGCCCACGAGCTGGCTTTCCAGGAAAGATCTTAACCTGCATCTGTCTGGAGTGGGAGAATCATGGCGACTCACTGACTCAGCTTTCTTTCTCCCAGCATTCTGTTCTGTTTACTCCACCCACCTAAGGGTTGGCCTATCAAATGGGCCTAGGCAGTTTCTTTATTAATTAACCAATGAAAGCAACAGATTAGAAAGAAATCACTCCCACATCAGAGAAGTCTTATACATCCAGTCTGTGTTACTGTGTGGGACCCATACCTCTTGGAGGAAGATAGATAAAGTTGATTAATGAATAGGAAACTTACTTTTCCTAAATTAATAGCAGAAGTTCTACATTATCTCAAAAGATGTTTATATCAGCATCCTTTCCTCCAAATTTACAAATGAACATTAGTTTCCCCTCTATTTGAGAGTTATATAGAATATGTTAACTACCATCAATTTTGTTAGTGGTTATTCTGATATAATAGTCAGTAGAAGTTTAGTAACTGGCTTTTGTTTCACATTTCGTTTTATATATTAATGATAACCTTGTTATATAATACTAGGCTTTAACCATTTAAGATACCTGTTCAGATTGGGTTATTTTATGGTTGTTTTGATCAAACATAATTTGATTTCTGTTATTTTTAATACTTTATCTCTGAGATTATAGGTAGTTATTGTTGATCAGGTTGTCAGAAATGTAATTTGTTTTATGTTTAAGAATACTTTGGTGCATCTGCTTTACTGTGGGACTTGTTTGCTCCGGTGCTGTCCTCGTGCTGCCCAGTTTGCATTTGCTCATTGACTGGGTTACCATTCCCTTGGGAGAGTCCTCTTGCTCTTTAAGAGCTGTTCCCTTTGCTCTCTGTTGTTTGTTACTTCCTAACAATGCAAACAAAGTCAGTGTAGGACCATTTGCCTAACTTGTCTGCTGTAGCTGTCTGCTGGCTCTCCCTGTGTTCTCTGATGGAATGTCCCTCTTCAGCAGAAGATTCTCAGTAACACTGTATGTTCCCCAGCACCAAGTTTACATGGGACACGTGTAAGGAAGGTGGTTCTTTACTTAACACATTGCTGCGTCCCTTGGCATTAATGAACCAATAAAATTTATGACTTTCACTCACTGTGGAAATAAAGTTTTGTATTTTAGAAGCTTCTGGTGTATTCTTGAAACATCTGGCATCTTTTACTATAAAACTTCCCCTACACACCATGTTTGAGTTGTACAAAGAATTTATTGGTTCATATCTTTATTGGCTCTATCTGTTTCTAGTTTTGGTCCCACTGCTGACTCTTTTTTTTTTTTTTTTTTGTCATTTCCACATAACTGATAGGCCAGTTTGATTCGGCTCAGTCACTGACAATCACACTGGCTTCCTTTCCCCCTGTGTTCCCTGGTGCCTGTGACCACAGACAGGGGCTGAGCTCCTGAGTAGTCGTTTCCCATCCTGGCTCAGTTTGTGGTCACTGGCCAGATTCTCTCATTAGCCTGCACCCTTTCCTTCCACTCAAGTCCCCAGTGCTGTTTCTAGCCCTGGCACTTTAGTACTAACCAGATTGCTTTCTGTTCAGGTCCAGTTTGGGTACATGACAAATATATTCTTGGTTTTTTTTTTTTTTTTTTTTTTTTTTTCGAGACAGGGTTTCTCTGTGGTTTTGGAGCCTGTCCTGGAACTAGCTCTTGTAGACCAGGCTGGTCTCGAACTCACAGAGATCCACCTGCCTCTGCCTCCCGAGTGCTGGGATTAAAGGCGTGCGCCACCACCGCCCGGCTACAAATATATTCTTAAAGATGATTGTCTGAGCAGCACCCTGCTTTGTCAGCCCTTAGATGGTCGTTACTAGTGAAATAAATCTAGTCATCTGACTGATCTTAGAGACCCTAAAATAGAATAGTATGTCAGAGTAAATATTCTACCTTGAACATACCTAAGTGTCTGCTAATTTAGAGTCCTGTGATCAACAAGCTGTGTGCCCTTGCCTCCTTGGGTCTCTGTCTCCTATACCTGTTTGCTGAAATCACCCCCATTCTCACACTCCCAAAGGCAGGTTTACATACAGTAGTGTGTCTACTGTAATTGCAAATCAAACTTAGTTTCAAGTAATAATAAGTTAATTTCTACTTTGTAGTGTATTTGCTTTTTAGTGTTATTTCCTCAGGATTATTAAGATTCTGTTAACAGTATTATTTGACCTAATTATTTTAACGCTTGAATAACACATGACCATTGATAATTATATTGAATAAATTGATAACTGAATAAATGGTTTTTCTTTACTGATGTTTTTGAATGTTGTATTTTTCTTTACTTACCTTTTTACAATTAAGAATTTAAATTTTCTTTAGGGTTTTGCTAATTTAAACAGTGTTATGCTGCTGGCATAGTGATGTACACCTGTAATGCTAACACCCAGGAGGTTGAGGCAGGAGGGTGGATGGCTGTGACTTAGAGGTCAGCTTTTTTTTTTAAATATTTATTTATTATGTATACAATATTCTGTCTGTGTGTATGCCCGAAGGCCAGAAGAGGGCACCAGACCCCATTACAGATGGTTGTGAGCCACCATGTGGTTGCTGGGAATTGAACTCAGGACCTTTGGAAGAGGAGGCAACGCTCTTAACTTCTGAGCCATCTCTCCAGCCCCCCTTAGAGGGCAGCTTGAATTACATAGTGAGTTCCAGACAGCCTGAGTTAGAATTTTCTGTTTCATCATACAGGAAGAATATGACAATAATTTTCATATATTATGAAGGATATCCTTTTTTTTTTTTCCTTTTTGATTTTCGAGACAGGGTTTCTCGAGCCTGTCCTGGAATTAGCTCTTGTAGACCAGGCTGACCTTGAACTCGCAAAGATCTGCCTTCTTCTGCCTCCTGAATGCTGGGAATAAAGGAGTGTGCCGCCACCACCACCTGGCTGTGAAGGATATTCTTTAACACTTTGCAAATGGCAGAGAAGTAAAAAGGGCAGGTTATATCTGAGTATTCCTTTGAAATTGTTGGGCCCTTGTGGACACTTGATGGTGTCAGAAACACCCAGAGGTCTGTAGACAACACTTGGAGAATAGCGTTCTAAACAGTCTCTGTCTGCTGCTGGCTAAATGAGTCTGCCTTGGAGCAGTGTATGAAGGCTTAGCTCGGCTCATGGGAAAATAGGAGCATCTTGTGGAGGTAGAGTCATGTTGCTTGTCGGCCATTCGTCTCCCAGGTTCATCGTTGGGTCAATTATGAATCCATGCTGAAAGAATGCCTGGTTGGCAGGATGGCTGTGAAGCCTGCTGTTCCAAAAGGTAAGTAAAAAGCCCATGCCTTTAAAATAAAATTGGATTTCAATGAATAGGATTAGATAAGTCACAGTATTTTCCCTATTTTTACTGGCTTTCTGCTATAGCTGCTCTAAAGGTTTTATTCAGCCTTGGGCCTTCACATGCATGTACACATGTTCACCCCATACCCACACATGTAACAAAATGCACATGCGCACACATACACATACACAGGCATGTACCACATGAAATGGAGAAAAGAAAAATAAGGAATTCTATAGTGACTTTCCCCGAAAAATGTGACATATTTTGTAGAAAGTTGCAAGGAGAAAATATCAGAAGGAAAACTGTATTTGCTTCCTTGTTTTCAGTAATCTCACATTCTGTCCTTAAATAACCAGATTAGTGGCAGTACTGGTTATGGATGTTGGCTGAGTATTTTTTAGTTTAGTGGTTTTACGTTTATTTTTTTAAAGTTTTTTTAGAGTTGGCCTCTCACTCTGTTATTCCAGGCTAGACTCAAACTCATAATCCTTTTTCCATAGCCTCTGAGAGGTTGGGATTACAGATGTGGCAGGTGTGTGGCCCCATGCTCAGCTTTTGCCTGGTGTGATTGCTCTCACATGACTCAGAAGTCAAAGACTATAAGAAGTTATACAGGACAGTGTCGCCTCCTGTCTTTGTCCCTGGGTTTACCGTGAATCTTCCTTGTCTCCTCACCTGTGTAGTCCCATTCTTGGGTAAGCTTCTTTTAAAATATAGTTACCTCTGAGTTAGAGCTCTCCTACAGCTGCTGTTCAAGGTCAGATCTTCCTGATCTCTTTCAGAAGAGCACCCTCTGGGACTTTGAATGGAATTGCAGTGGCAGAATTACTTCCTATAACCCCTTTCTGTGAAGGGGTATAGTCATTTTTTTTAGTGACTCATGACTCTTAAATTCAGAGCGGATTGGTCTGTTCAAGCAGAGTCTTCAACTAGTTAGTTCAATGAGTTTTATAATTCGACACCTTATTGCTGAAAGTTTCTCTCAGTAAACTCCTGTGTAGGTCCTTGGGTTTTAGATATACACAGGAACACTCATGATAACATAGGATAAAAGACAGGTACTTAGATCTGTAAGAAGCAAAGTTGGAACTGAGCCCCCGTTTATGGCCTGCTCTTTAATGAAAAGCGTATTTAACAGCAAAGGGAGATGCTGGATTGTCTTGTCTGTCGTGGCCTTTTTTATAGGGTGTTAAGGGAAAACAAAGAATTTTCCTCTGAGAATCTGGCCACAGTTCTCAAGGTAGTGAGGGTTCCCTTCCTGGTGTGTACTAAAGCCATTATTCTAGAACTTGGTTCTTATTAAAAGAAAATCTTCATTGTGCTTCCAGCCCAGCAAGGAGGCCAGGAGCTCTTCAGCTTAGGTTTATCTCCCACTTAAGTACTATCAAGGATTTATATGAAAACAGGGGAGAAACTGGTTGTGATGGAATTACAAGAAAGAATTTTAGGGTTCTTAGTATAGCATAGGAGGCAATGCACCTCTTCACAGATTGCATGTATTTTCTTGCTTTCAGATCCCCAGAATCCAAGTAAAAGCTGCAGGTAGGTGTGCAGCATCTGTAATCCCAGATTGCTCCTACAAGGAGATCAGAGACTGGGACAGGAGCTAGGCTAACTAGCCTGTACCCAGCTAACCTGGTTTTACAGCAGGACCAATACTCGAAGGCTGTCTTCTGTCCTCTACCTGTGTGCCATGGCCACATACCAACAGGTACACACATGGCAACCCACATATATCATATACTTGCATACATGAAGGAATGTTTTAAAGTTATTGTGTGAATTAACTAAAGCAAAATTTATCAGCCACCTAGAATCTAAGCCGTGTGTGTGTGTGTGTGTGTGTGTGTGTGTGTGTGTGTGTGTGTTGTGGGTGGCCATGGTGGCCAGAAATGCCACTGCTGTTTCTGTGACCCTTTGCTTCCCTAGTTATAACAGTGTATTTCTGCAGTCGTTAGAGGTGAACTAGCATGTGATGCTGGTTTTGTTCCTATGAAGAAGCATTCTTGTTATTGACAGGTCTGTGACAGTGTGGAAGAATCAGCCTGTTTGGGTCAGGAATATTTGTGGAGTAGTAGTGGACAGTGATTCGAAACCACAAGTCATTAGGAGGCAAAGACAAGAATTTCACAGCGCAGAAAAGCAATGTTTATGAGCAAAGGGACTTTTTTCCTTAAAAATATTTTATACACAATATTTTGATCTTTTTTTCTGCCCCAGATTCTTCCCACCTCTCTGTCCACCCACCTACCCATCTTGGTGTGCCTCCCTTTCTCTCTCTGAAGCAAGATGAAAATCAAAGAAAAAGAACAATAAGACAGAAAACAAAGACTCTGCAAAAACATGAACAACAACAACAAAAAAAAATAAACTATGGAGACTGTTTTTGTTAGTCATCTACTCCTAGGCATGGGGCCTGCCCTGGAGAGTGGTTGATAGACATAGTAACACTCCTTTGGAGAAAACTGGGTTTTCTATGGTCTGTGTGTGCCAGCTGCAGATAGCTCCTCGCTGGGATTAGAGTCCTGTGTTTTCTTCCCCTCACAGTGCTGGTACCCTGTCTGACCTGAACTTGTACAGGTCCCACGTGTTCTTCCGGTCTCCATGAGTTCACGTGTGCATCAGTCCTGTTATGTCTTGGAGACATTGTCTCTCTGGAGCCATCCATGAGCCTTTAGGGGAGGGGGCTTGACAAAGACTTCTCATTTAGGGCTGAGTGCTTCAAAGTCCCTCACTCTCTGTCCATTAACAGGTTGTGGGTTTCTGGTTAATTCCTATATACTGCAAGAAGAAGCTTCTCTGATGACTGGTTCAAGGCTCTGTTTTTTTTAAGAATAGCATTAGTAGTCATTTTATTGCCATGTTCTTTTTTTTAAATATTTATTTATTTATTTATTTATTTATTATGTATACTGTATTCTATCTACATGTAAGCCTGTAGGCCAGAAGAGGGCACCAGACCCCATTACAGATGGTTGTGAGCCACCATGTGGTTGCTGGGAACTGAACTCAGGATCTATGGAAGAGCAGGCAATGCTCTTAACCTCTGAGCCTTCTCTCCAGTCCCTGCCATGTTCTTTTATCAGAATAATAGCTGTAGGTTTTCCTTGACACTTGTGACCTATTTAGTCTCAGGTTTTTGGCTACTTTAGCAGCATCAAGTATGGGATCCACTTCATGGAGTGGGTCTTAATTTCAATAGAAAAGTGGCTAGTTACTTCTGTAACACTTGTTCCACTATAACCCCAGTATGTATGGAGGCACATGACTGTCGGATTGTGCGACTTATGGCTGGGAGATATTGATGAGTACCTTTGTCCTCCTGTACTGTACAGATCAGTCAGTAGCTTTTAATTGGGCATAGGTTCAGCTTCTCTGTGTTCAATGATGTAAGTGTTGTCTTCATCACCAGGACCCTGCCATCAGATTGTGGACAGCAACCCCGCAATCTTGACAATAGCCTCTGATGTTTTGATGGGGGTTCCATAGGTCCCCTTTAGCCCTCAAGTACCTTATTATGTAGACTGAGCAGAACGTTGAAAGGAACTAAATAGTTAAAGAGAAAGATCTAATGATATACCAGAAAGAAGTAAACGGCTTTAGCAGTAAGTAGCTTGTATGCCTCTCAAGGAGGTGCATTCGGGTTACCCATAGTAGAACTCCGGGATGACACAGGAAGAGAGGCTGAGGACAGAAGGTGAAGAGACTACCTGCAGTGGGAGTTGGGGGTGGTAGAGATGCTGAAGAGGAATTTTCTACACTGATGTTTTTTCAGTATCAAAGACAGGGATTTTCATAATGACAGAGTGAGCATTTCACCATAACATTTCCATACATGCATGTAATGTATTCTCATATTTACCTCCTACATTCCCTCATCCTTTTTCTTCTTTGCCATCTCATATCCACAATGTCCTAATCCCTTCTACTAAAATTGTTTACATGAGGCAAACTGTCAGAACCCAATGTAAAAGTCCCAGAATTGGCATTTTGTGTGCATTTCCACACGAGGCAGTTCCAGTTCTCAGTTTACTTGATTGATTGTAGTGTGGTCCTGATGAAAACAGCAAAGCTGGCAGACCCAGAACCGAAGCCATGGCAAGATTTACTGTGATCAGGCAAGAATTCAGCTGTTTATTATAGTCCTTTATTTAAAAGGTATTGTAGATTGTATTGTGCCTTAGAAAGATTTATTAGTAATAAATTAAGGAGTAGAGACCACTTATTGATAATTTGTATCACAGAGGCACCAGATTATCTGATAAATATGAAGAATGAGTGATGTTCTGCCTTCGTTCTCTCTGGCTGCCATGATGGTTGTCAGTCGTGTGGCTATTGAACTCACATGCCAAATCAGATGTACTGTAAATACACACTGTACTTCAACTATTCATACTTCAAGTATGAAAAAATGTCAAAGTGAAGTATCTCATAATTGTTATATTAATTACACGTGAAGTTGTAATATTCCAGGTGCAATGTTAAATATAATATAGTTTATTTCTTGCTTTTACTTTGTTAGTTTAGTTATTAGAAAATTTTAAATTATGCTTTGAGTTGTATTATATTTCTTTTGGGGAGCAGTTTTAGATCATAAGTGTACTTTAACATTTTAATGCCATATTTAAAAATACTCATATTTTTCAGTGGCAAAGTATGTCTCAGGAATAGTGTAGTGATGAGGTGAGCAGGCCTGCTTTTCGTCCCACCCGGCTCCCGCACGGCTAACTTTACACCCGAAATAACAACACACAAACTGTATTCATTTAAACACTGCCTGGTCCATTAGTTTCAACCTCTTATTGGCTAATTCTCACATCTTGCTTAACCCATTTCTAATAATCTATGTAGCACCACAAAGTGGTGGCTTATCGGGAAGGATTCAGCATGTCTGACCTGCGTCCATCTTGGGCCGGAGCTTCATCGTATCTCACCTCACTTCCTTCTACAAAGCATCCTGTTCTGTTTACTCCGCCTACCTAATTTTCTGTCCTATCAAAGGGCCAAAGCAGTTTCTTTATTAACCAATGAAAGTAACACATAGACCCTCCTCCATCAGAATAGTCTTAATCTCTCGTTGCTTTTTTCATATTTACATCTATGTATTTAGGTTTTGTGACCACTTCCTAACAGTGAACAGTTTCTAGTAAACAGCTAGAAGCCGAGACTAGAACACTCAGAGGGACAGGGCTGTCAGGTATGTGAATTTAGAGCTGCCCTAACATCTTGATTTAAAAGTAAAAATGCTGAGGCTTATAGGCACGTGTACCTTACTTACTAAGGACAACAGAATTGTTTGCCTGACTAATGTTGTCCACTTTTGAATAATTCATTGCTTCTTTATTCTCAGTGCATATCAATTGGGGTTTTTTTCCTCCTCAAGGAACATTGCCAATACTTAGAAGCATTTTGATTATTACAACTAACCTGGATGCTGCTGGTGTTGTGGACAGAGGCCAGGGATGCTCCTACTAGCACACAGTGCCCAGGACAGACTCTCATGACAGAGAATTATCCAATTCAAAGCATCACTAGTGCTGAAATGGAGAAATTTTTGTATGTGCATTGGTAGTAGTAGTTGTTGTTGTCATTCTTACTATTGCTATTTTTAGCATAGCATCTCATCTAGCCCAGTCTGGTCTCAAACTTGCTGTGTAGCTGAGGATCTCCTGGCCTGTATGTCCTAAGTGCTGGGATTGAGGTGCTGAGCCATTAACTTCAAGGAGCCATGTTGCCTTGTCAGCCAAGGACAGCTGGTGAGTGGGCTGACTGCCAGTGGAGGCTCGGCATTGGTGGAGAGTTTGTCCAAGGTTCTTTTCTGGAGCCTTCATTTCCTTTTAGGTAAAATGGAGACAGTTCAGACAGACAGGCAAAGTGCAAGCTTACAGGCCAGCAAAGCCTCCAAGGTGTAAACACAGGCAAGCGGACTTAGTGAAGCAGCCTGTACCAGATGAGACATGTGCTCACTTGGCTGTCTTGCCTTAGTTGGCTCTTGCTGCCTTAGTGCTTATTGTCTGGGTTGTTGTAAATAGGGGTGGCGGGGCTGCATTCCCAGCACCCCGGCCGCCTGCCCGGCTAGCTTATGCCCAAAATAACAACACACAAACTGTATTCATTTAAACACTGCTTGGCCCTTTAGCTCTAGCCCTTACTGGCTAATTCTGATATCCCGATCAACCCATCCCTAATAATCTGTGAGAACCGCTCTTACCGGGAAGATTCTAGCCTAGTCCATCCTGGGTCGGAGCTTCATGGCGTGTGTCTGCCCGGGAGCAGGGCATGGTGTCTCTCTCAGGCGTCTGCTCCCAAGAGGAGAGCTGTGGAGTCTGAGCTCACTTCCTCTTCCTCCCAGCGTTCTGTTCTGTTTACTCCTCCCACCTATCTTCTAACCAATAAAATGGGCCAAGGCAGTTCCTTTATTAGCCAATGACCTTCCTCCATCACTGGGTGAGGTTTTGGTATTTATGTGTGCATATGTGTGTGCTCACATGTGCTAGATTTAAGGGAGGTAATTTGTTATACAGGACCATTCTCTGAGCCAAACTACTGCCATCTTCAAGAGTCCTCTGAAAAGATCACATAGCTGGGCTTTGTTAACTGTTATTGTTCATTCCTAGAAGGAAGAGCAGGGAGAGTCATGTATGCTACTCACTTGAGAATTCAGCCATCTTTCCCAACTAGTTGTGTATAGTGCTGCCCGAATTACACATGGCCTTGGGGGTCTCAGAGAAGGGCTAGGGGACATAGATGGGGAACGAACTAGGGAAAGGGGCTCTATCTACACAGCCATGGAGATATTATCATCCATGCTGGGTCAGACCTTTCAGCATGGCTGCTGTAAGGTCACCCATGCTTTGCCTGTGACTCCCACTCATTGCTCTTAAGTAAACATGAAAACTCAGGGGCTCCCAGAATGAGCTTTAGTGGAATCATAAGTTGATTTGTCACCAGAACACAGGAAGGAGGGGTTGACACTGTTTCTCTCTCCGCTAGGGAAGGAATTCTAGCAACATAATTCAAGCTAGGGGGTGAAACACCCCTATTAGGAGACAGATGCACATCTGAACTGCAGGATTGCAGTTGTGTTTTGCAGTATTGCAGCGACTGACTGATGCTTATTTGGTTAGTATTTATTTTGCTTTCTGGCAAAGCTGATTTGGGAACATGTGTATATTCACCCTTGTCACTCCTGTCTCTGATCTGCCCTTTTCCTTACCCTGCCACACTAAAGAAGAATTGAGTGCTGTTGGCTGCCAGGGTTGCCTCTGAGTGACTAAGCCCTTGGAGAGGAGGGGCTTTGGCCAGGCAGAACACTGCCATTTAGCCAACATGAGGAAGAGATCTCAGTTTGCGTTTTCATAGAGACTTCTAAATGATGCAAGTAGTTATGGAAAGAGAATATTGCATTTATTCTCAGGGAAAAGGTTTCTCTTCCAGCTAAAATGATGCAGATGTAATGTGTTTAACATGGAGAAGAGTTTATACGGCTCAGCTTTTTAAAACTTAGACTGGGGTAATTTTGAAGGTAATTTAAATAATTTAAAAGCAAACTTTCTTCACACTGGAATTTCTTATATTAAAAAATGGGGAAAGGACATTTCTGCAGAATCCATTAAGTTCTGGCAGACTGAATTCAGTGCATATTAAGAAAATAGTCCTCTGATATAATTTTTTCCCTAGAAACAAATTACCTGGAATAATTTTTCAAAATCTATGAGTGCCTTGGGTAAAAACAGAATTTTTTCATGACAAATGAGATTTATCAGATTGCTGGCTCTGTAGCACACTGAGATGGATTTAATATACAGTACTGTGAGTTTGCTGTTTGTTCTTAGGTGAAGCAGATAATCACAGCTGCAGAGGCCATAACAGGTAAAACTATGGAAGGCAGTTAGGACAGGCAGTGGTCATCAGTGCTCCCTTACAAATGGTAATGGCTAGATGTTCCTTTGGCAGTGATGGCAATAGCCACTTGAGGTACAACTTTTATGGTGTTTTAAGTCTTGTATGTTTTTAGGAAGTATTAAACAACAACGTGAAGAAAAATAGGACTGGATTTGTAGGGAGACAGATTCACTCTTGACTTTGGTGAAGAGCTCTGGATCCTTCTAGGCCTTGGCTTCGGATCCTCTTCGTTCCTGAAGAAGAGAAGGCAGTAGTCTGTTGTGTATTTTAGGAGTCCTCTCAGTGTAGAGTTAGTTTTATTAGAAGGGGAAACGATGACTAGGTGGTCTTCTTAGTCATGGCCACTTTGTGTTGGGTGAGTGAATTAGAGGAGTGTATGGGATTTTGGATTTTTATAAATTAGAAGACAGAAGATTCGAAAGCAGAGCCTGGCACACACCTGCAACTCCAGCACACGGGAGGATAAGAAAGAAGGGCTGCAGGTTTGAAGGATGGAGGAAGGGTACTTTGATTTAAGTACATTTCTTTTTCTTTTGTTTTGTTTTTCGAGACAGGGTTTCTCTGTATAACAGCCCTGGCTGTCCTGGAACTCACTCTGTAGACCAGGCTGGCCTCGAACTCACAGAGATCCTCCTGCCTCTGCCTCCCAAGTGCTGGGATTAAAGGGTTGCACTACCACCGCCCGGCTTACATTTCTTTACAGCATGGTGATGCCATTCTACCATGTCACCTTCCAGTCTGACTTCGGGACATGTTATCTTAGCTTGTCTTCCTTTAAAGCCGCAACCACCTGCTGAGGGGATGAAACCATAGTTGTGTCACAGTTGGGCTTGCTAAGATATATTAGACTTTGGTGAGTGTCCTGCTATCCTGAAAGAAAATACCTGTGAGGGGTTTCTGGCTTGTAACTCTAAGAATTGTATTATAAGTACATGTGAAAGTTTTAACAAATTTACCTGATTTTGGCCACTTTATGTTTATAATAGTATACATACAGACTGATAATAAATAATAAAACCCCTTTGGAGTGTTAATATTTGTTTTTAATAGGATATAACCTAATAAATTCTGTTTTCTTTATATTAATTTAGAATATGACATCTCAGATAAAACTTGGGGTATATGTGCTCTTTGGAGAAATAATTTGTGGCTCAGTTGTAAAACACATGCCTAGCATTCCCAGAGACCACAGATTGATTGCCAGCACTTGGGGGTAGGGGTCAAGAAATAAATTCCAAAATACTGAGGGATGTGGATTATGCACAAGACATACACACGTACACACACATGCACACATACACACATGCACACACACACACGCACGCACGCACGCACAGAGCCCTGGGAAGTGTCCTGATGATCTCCAGAGACCACACTGACTTACTTGAAACAATGGCTCTCCATGTCATAGTCCCATTTCTGTCCTCACACCCTAGAAGAAAGCAGCCCGTTGAGACTGTTAATAGTTTAACCAATAAAATGACTTGATAGTCTCTTTAATGATATAGTATTCTTACCTGACTTTTTCTCCCCAAATCATCATACAGACTGCCATGAAGGAAAGAAAGTCTTAAATGGTAAGTCATATAAATTAGTGATAAACTTACATGTTGATACTGCTTCACAGAATTGTCTGGGGTATTTGGATTAAAAAAAATTCAAAAGCTGTCTTTGCTTGTCTAAACTTAACGGATTTACTAGAACTTTATGTGCCTTTTATTTCAACTATTACTTTTAAAACAATTACTTTTATGAAATCTCTAAGCCCAAAGCATAAATGTTTTTAGTGACTAAAACAGGACTCAGGTGGCTCCCTTTAGGTATGTGTGTGAGTTCACACTGGTGTCAGGACACAGATCCAAGTAGCATATTAATCTGCTGTTCCTTGGTTGAGCAGCACAGACATCACGGTTGGCACTGCCCCTTTCACACCCAATTGAGGTGTGGTGTTAATACTGACTGATGAAATGCATGGGGCTCCTCTGACTGAGTGTGTTATTGTACCTGTAGATCCAGATTTTTTTTTCCTCCCTTTTTGCAAAACAAAGTTACAGAAATAGAGCTAGCAAGCTAGGTTTTCAGAAGAATCACCTTTTTTTTAAGTGTGAAAGTAGCCTGTAACTTGCAACTTAGGATGTTTGAAGTTGTCATGGTATAATATTGCAGGGAATGCAGGAAATGGAAGGCTGCTCTTAGGCTCATCGGGTGCTTGGCTCTTCTGTGATGCTGCAGAAACAACCATCCTCCTTGCCTGTCACATGTCGCTTTCAGCATCTTTACTGCAGATGCACTGTATTTAATGTTTCAATTAAAAATATTCTTAGATCTCACTCTCCAAGTAATGTGGAACCATTACATGTTGTGACTTGGAGTCTCTATAATAATGGGGTATAGTTGTATCTATTTCCGTATATATATCTGTGTATCTATGTATGTATTTGTATTTTGTAACTGTTTCTCACATTTGGCTCAGCTAAGGCTGTGTGGTAATTCTATATTATGTTTGCGAATATAATCTGCCTGCTTTGTATGTCATTATTTCAACAGTTAATTAAAATCCTGAGTGGGATAGGTGAGTTTTATTTTATAGTAAGGCGCAGAGCCCTTAAACTGACGCCATTCTGTCAGCCAACACTTTGAACGTTCTTTTGGAACACCTGACTGACTTACTCTGCTCTGACGTAGATTTACCCCCGAGTCTCCAGAGGATGTGACTCTGTGGTTTCTTTTTGCTCATACTGAAAACAGGATAGATTCTGTCAAGTGTGGCCTTGCTCTTCTAATGAGCTGTATTTCTGTGCTACTCTCTTGAATTTTAAAAGGTACCTGGAAATGGTCTCTTTTGTGCTTTCCTGTTGAAGAAGAAAAAGCAATGGTTTTGCATAAGGCTCTAGTGCTGGCACAGAGCTTTCTGATCTTAATCAAACATACAAGATCGTACAAGATCAAAAATGACTGTAAATGTATGAATTTTGTTGATGCTTTTCCTCACAGTAAATTTTAAATTTTGATGCATGTTTTTTAAGAGACCACCAAAATAAAAATGACAATCTTTTAATAAAATATCTTTCACCACTTTCAAATAATTTAATAAGACTATTTTTTTATTGTATTCATTTTAGAAAAAGATGCTTGTGGCTCTGGCTTTAGTTATAAGGCCTGATGGTCACATATATCTTTGAGGCTCTTGGTCTGAAAACATAGTGTGCTCTGCATAGTAACAGTGGAAGAGATGAAAGCTGAAGAAACCAGACAGGCTTCACCAAGAGCCTCATTCCCAACAGTATTGCTATTTTGCATCCGTACTTTTCCTAAGCCTGAGTATATAGGGAAGTTCCGGAAATCTCTAACCTCTCTCACCTGGAAGTGCTTCCAACTCCAGCCTCCTGTAGTGATTGTTGCTAGTCTGGGAGCTCTAAGGCTAACTGGATAACTGTATTTTTTCCCCCCTGTAGTTTGAGATGTGGTAACAAAATTAAATAGTTTATTTTCAAAAGTTACTTAGCAGTCCAGGCACAACCAAGGCACTCCTCTGGAGGGAGGAAACAGTGCCTGCAGGCTCTCCAGAGAGCTTCCCTGTCTCAGAGCTTTCTGAAATGACTTGAAAACCAGTTGGTGTAGCCCTTTAAAGGCCATGTTGATGTAGACACGTGTGAATTAATCAAAATGGAAAAGAATGCCATACTGGTGTGCCATTAGAGCTGCAATACTCAAGCACTGTGGTAAGATGTATCCATTTCTACAACCGTGCTGGTGGTTTAAGTGAACCTGGTACAGCCATAGTCCTCTAAGAGGGAGAAATCTCAATAGAGAAATATCTCCCCATAAGATGTGGCTGTAGGCAAACCTGCAGGGGATTTTAATAAGTGATTGATGTGGGTGGTGTCATCCCTTGGCTGCTGGTCCTGGGTGCTGTAAGGAAGCTGGCTTGAGCAAACCTTGAGGAGAAACCAGGAATAGCCCTCCTTTATGGCCTTTGCACTGGTTCCTGCTTCCAGGTTTCCTCCCTGACTTTCCTCAGTAATAAACTGTACTGTGGGTCAGTAAGTGGAAATAAACTTCCCAAGTTGATTTGATCATAATGTTTTATCACAGAAATGAAACCCCTAACTAAGACAACAACCATTTTGACTAAAGCTAAACATGCATGCATACTATATCCCACCAGAATTGTAGATTTTGTTCTTTAAAATGTGCATGTCAGTGTGCAAGGTTTATAACCATGTTCCCATAATAGTGCCTGTTCAGGAATGACTTATCAATAGAAGAGTGGGTGAATTGTAACTAAGTCATACAATGCAATAATTTTCAGTATAAAAAGGAACAGACTACTTATGCACTTAACAGAATGGCTAAAATCTCAGGAAATTCTAGGTTTGACTTGTTAGAACTATAATGCTAAGGATGAACAACAACAAAAGACCAAAATAAACCATGCTTTATGATCCCTTTCTATATAGTATAGAGTGCCACTAATATATGTCCATGATTTAAAAACTAGTTTGGTGTCATAAGTCACAATATGGTTACCCTTGGGAGAGAGCAAGCTATAGGAAAACACCCAAAGAACATGCTGGTGACAAGGGTCTTTCTTGCTTTATGGTTTAGTAGCATGTTTATTAAGATGTCCCTTATGTATGTGTGTACATGGGTTTAGTGTGGTGTAGATAAATTACTGTTTTTCTTTGTGAAGGCATGCTTCCCAAGAGCCAAGTGACAGATACACTGCCCAGGGAAGGCCCTAGTTCTCCAAGGTATGCACTCTTCTTTACATTTCAAAGTGAGAGCACTTCTGCACAAACCCACAGACACTGCAGGAAAGAACCTAGCACAGGGGTTGTTTCTTGTTTACTGCCAGTTTTGCTCAGCTCACAAATGGCAGCACCTCTTTATCAGATGGGTTGCAGAATAAGGTTGTTCCATAAGTGATTTTTAGATAACTGAAGTTTGATTGTTTTAAATACTTTAAACCACTATTTTAAAATGATTTTTTTCTTTCTGGTCAGGTGATAGTGACTCACACCTTTAATCCCAGCAATCAGGAGGCAGAGGCAGGTGGATCTTTATAAGTTCAAGGCCAGCCTGGTCTGCAAAGTGAGTTCCAGGACAGCCAGGGTGGTTACACAGAGAAACTCTGTTTCACAAAAAAAAACAACAACAACAACAACAACGAAAAAAAAACATCAAAAGAGTTTTTTTCTAATAATGATAAAATGCATGTTCAGGGTAGGAAGTTTAGAAAACATAGTGGTAACCCCTTTCAACCTTAGACATCGATGCCGAACTCTGGGGCTGACTGACTTATACAATACCTTCACACACAACATTTGTAGTACTGGTATTATAGTGTCGTTTGTGAGCGATATCTTTTGTTGTTAATAATCTGTGAAAACTTCTGTATTCCATCACATAGCCATACCATTGTTTATTTCAATATTCAATCTTTATATGTCTATTTTGGTGGTGTTTTTAAATTTAAATTTTAATGGAAATTCTTCAATATGTTTTAATATTTGACAACCTTGGGCATGAGCCCTCACCTTTCACCTTGGTTGGAACAGGACTTTTTCCCCGTGACGTTTGCTACCACGTGTGCTGAGGGCAACTAGTCTGTGAGCTTTCAGGGATTCTCCTGCCTCTGCCTTCCATCTTCCCACAAGAAAACTGGGATTACAGATGTGCACTCCCTCATCAGGCTTTAGGTGGGCTGTGTGGATTTGAACTCTTGTCTTGATATTTATTTAGCAAGTATTTTCCACTGAGTCGTCTCCCCAGCTCAAGAATGAATTTCTTTAGTAGTGATATTTTCATTATAGAGAAGGAAGGCGATGAGCATGCAGATTTCTTTGTGCTCCTTAACAACACATGTATGTATTCTATTATTCTCTGAGAAGATTTTTTTAGAACAATGTATAGCCTTTATTTGCCCATTTTGGTGGTCTATTTGGAAATAAATGTCAGGTATATCATGATGACTGTAACATGTTAAGGTTACCATGTAGATACGAGTTTTACCCTGAGAAGTCTATTTCCCACCGTGGATTTTAAATGTTGATAATTTCACGTGTTATTGCAAATCATTCTGGATGTTTTCTTATTTCACTTTACTGTCTTACAGCTATGACTGGTTCCAAACAGAGTCCTCAGTCACCATTGCTATATACACCAAACAAAAGGTAAACATTCTATTGAAAACAAGAGGAAATAAATAGTAAGAATTAGTTGCTTTTATTTACATGCAGATTCTTTTCTAAGATCTTTTTTATATTAGCTTATTTGTTCTCCATAACAATCCTGAGGCAGAAAGCAAATGTTCTCCCTATTTTACAAAGAAGGGTTAATTTTTTCCCCAAAGCCTGTGTTTGGAAGCTAGGTAGGTATTCTGGCTCCTGCCTGGCAGATAGCTATTACCACCCATCTGTGTAGCCTGTAAACCTATTGAGTGTTGTTCTGTGTGCTTTCCAGTTAACTTTGCTGTAAGAGTACACTTTCTGGGATTAGAAAGACTATACTGCTGAGACTTAATATACTTGAACTGTTAATGGCATTTGGGTGCCCCTTGGAAACAAGGTTAGGGAACTTGCTCATTTATTTGTGAATCTTCACATGGCACTTCTTTTATATAAAGCACCATTATACGTCAGAAATGTGATTCTGGGCCAGGTCCACAGACTTGTTTTACAGGGTGGATAGTCCAGCTAGAAAGCTGGATGAATATATTTACATTGTTTCCAGCCACATCCTCCAGTGCCTGCTCACCTTCCACATTTGAGGAGCCTTGTGAATGGAATCTATTTCTGCAGTAATTTCAGTAGGGTTTGAAATGCAGTGACTGAGGAAAGGGGACATTTACGAATGGGACGATATGTGTAATGCATGGTATAAGTAGTAAGTACCACGACACCTCTCTTTCGTTTCTGTGTACTACTTATACCATGCATTGGACACATCATCCCATTCGTAAGCTTCCAGTTGAAGAGAGGGAGGAGGGAATATATGAGTAAGGGAGGTCAAGATCACGATGGAGAAATCTATAGAGAGAGCTGAACCAAGCTTGTGGAAACTCGGGAACTCTAGACTGACAGCTATGAGGCTCCATGGACTGAACTAGGCCCTCCATATGTGGGAGACAGTGGTGAAGCCTGGACTATCTGAGGGGCCCCTGGCAGTAGGACCAGGATCTATCCCTGGTTCATGAGCTAGCTTGTTAGGACTCATTCCCTATGGTGGGATGCCTTTCTTAGCATTAAGGTTGGGGGGAGAGGCTTGGTTCTGCCCCAACTTAATGTACGAGACCTTGTTGACTCCCCATGGAGCCCTTACCCCTTAGGAGGAGTAAATGAGGGGTAGGCTGGTGGAAGGGATGTGCGCGGGAGCAGGAGGAGGGGTGGGATGGAGAACTATGTTTAGAATGTAAATGAAATTAAAAAACAAAACTTTAAAAAAGTTTCTTGGATAATTTTGAGATTGGTGGAGATCAATAGGTTACATACTTTCTCAGAATCACACGGTAGTAGAAAACTAAAATGAAAACAATTAAAGATCTTAAATTCTGGGTCATAGTCTTAGTTTTTTTCTATGTTGTTTCTTAAAAAAATATTCTTGAACAACTAATAGATGCTGACCAGTGTTCTACGGATAGTCTGTAGGGTTCATGACTTTAAAACCATGGCTACAGTGGATGTTAAACAGAGGAAATGTGTGCTTAGAATTACAATGACGTTCATAGAAGGGAAGGGACTGGCTTATATGAGGGAGAAATGAGAACCAAGAATAATATTCATGTTGCTTGGAGACGTGTACCAGGAAAGCGCCCCTCATCGCTTCAGAAATGGAGTTCTCTGGGGGCAGTTCTCAATTTTCATCTTTCTGTTTTTGCTTCCTTTAAAGAATATCAGTTTAGACTCAGTAATGGTTGACCTCCAGGGTGACTCCTTGAGAGCAGAAACTTTTATCCAGGATCATTCTTATCTTATACATATTGGTGAGTATCTCATTTTTACTAATCGGAATATTTTCATTTTCTTTCACTATGACAATAGCATGGTCTGCAGTCTAGAAGGCTGTAATATTTTATCTGCTATCATCATTTTGGTTTGTCATTTCTGATCATTTTACAGTCAGTGTTTTTCCTTCATGCTAATAAAAATGGCAGCATGGTTCCCTTTCCAAATTGAAGTAATTATAAGCCTAACATGTTGTCTGTTGTGTGACAGAGCCCTGACTTCATGCAATCAGATGTGATCAGAATCAATCATAAAATATTAGTTCACTTTTATAAGTGTCTTACTTGATGGCTATAAATAAGACTCTGGAGACCTCTGGTCACCATGTGAGCATTACTTACTGGGATGTCCATTCCTTGCACCCCAGGACATCAGAGGCAGCAACCAAACAGCCTGGACTGCAAGCTTGCTCATCTCCTAAGAGCCAGAGATAAGCTTTGTTAATTTTGACCTATCGGGGGTAAGAAGTTCTGAAACCAAAGAAACCAAATGTTGGATCTGTTTGTCACCTATAATGAAATTGAGTCTAAGATCTCATTGTTTTCTCCTCTTATGACTAGGATGTATTTCTAGTTAGAAAATAGATGTGACACACACAAAACAATCCCTGAACAATAGCAAATATATATTAATTTTTTAAATAAATTGTCAGTGTGCATATGTACATGATGTGAACATGCAAGTGTCATGGTATAACATGTATGGAGGTCAAAGGGCAGTTTTATGGATTTGGTTTTCTCCTTTCTACCCTTACATGAATCCTGGGAAAGAACTCGGGTTGTCAGGTTTGCATGGCCAGCACCTTTACCCAGTCATTCATAAATGGGGAATGGTTGTGGGGTGGGGACTGTGGGGCCCTATCCCTTGGTACTGAAGAACAGGCTACTAAAGGAATCTGGGTGAGAGGGGCCTGCTGTCTTCAGTTGTATAAACACTGATGAACCAGGCTCCAGTGGATAGTTCCAATGCAGAGACCACACTGATAACCATGGTCCAACCCAGAGGGACACAAACAAAACAAAAGACATGAATATGAGAAGGAGATGAGTAGGGAAGAGGGCAGGTAGATGGGGGAAGAGAAGGCAGGGGTGCAAGCAATCAGAGTGCATTTATATACATAGGAAATTGTCAAGAGCAAAATTAATAATAATAAAACAACTTCTGGATACCAGTTCTGCATTGGAAAGACTGAAACAGTGCAGAATGAGATTTAGAGCAGAGTGATGAAGCCACACTTTGCCTTTGCTGTTTATGGAACGGATGTTAGTGAATATAAAGATCTGTCTCCTGTTAACCATTTAACCATTCATTGCATTCATAATACCTGAAAGTGCTTGCTTGCTTATAGGCTCTCAAAAGATTGATATATATATATCAGACAGACAGACACACACACATATGAAAAGCTAAGTTGACACTGTCTGACCTGTGTCAGCAGGGCACAGGACGCACAACCAGCCTGCAGTGTTGCCTCCTCCCCCAACTGCTCATCTTGAGTCTCACTCTGTATGATTGTCAGTCTGGAATGAAGGTCGGTTACCAGCTTGTGAGTGGTTGAATATTTACTCCTCAGTCCATAGGGAGAAGTATGGAAAGATGGAAGAAATTTAAGCAATTTGATTCTTTCAGAGCACGTATTTTCTTTTAGTCTCTCAGTACATTCTTCTAGTCTTGAGCAGTTTGAAGTAGTACATTTAAGTTGATCTTACAGGTATAGATTGATTTTATGAATTGAATTTTGGTGGTAACTAAAAAACTTTTTTTTTTTATTTCAGGGCTAAGCCATGAAGTTCAAGAAAATTTTTCTGGTAAGTACTAAAAACCAGAAAGAAATTATGTGTGTATACACACACACACACATAGGCATGTATAGGAAGAGAAAAAAAAACAGGCATTTGTCTTTATTTTTCTTACATATATTTTCATGTCATAAATACATTACTTTTAAAGTACACTCTTTCTGGTTTCTGTTTTTCCCTGCTCTTCTTTATTTGTTTGTTTGTTTGTTTGTTTGTTTATTATGTATACAATATTCTGTCTGCATGTATGCCTGCAGGCCAGAAGAGGGCACCAGACCCCATTACAGATGGTTGTGAGCTACCATGTGGTTGCTGGGAATTGAACTCAGGACCTTTGGAAGAGCAGTTAATGCTCTTAACCTCTGAGCCTTCTCTCCAGCCCTCTCCTTGCTCTTCTTATCTCTCTATTTTCCTTTTCTCTCTCTTAAAAACATTCCTGTCCGATTTTGTTCATCTTCTCTGCCCTGCTCCTCACATGCAGCTCATAGGCACGCACTAGACCAGACACACTCTCATAGCTACATACACTCAAGTGGATGCCAGGGTGGAGCACACTGAGCTGCAATATTGCCACATGCCATGTGTAGTTCGGGTTCCTTGGGAGGTGAGGACTCAAAATAGTTTCTGACTTCCAGGCTTCTCCCCTTACCATATACCATAGTAAGCTCTTTACATTCAAGGAGCTTGTTTTTATTCTCATGAAGTCTGAACTCAGTCATTTAATTGAATTCACTTTGCTCATCTGTTGCTACACTGTGAACCTGTACTCTCAGGTTCACAGTGTAGAAGAACAGATACCTAGCTTCTGAGCAAAGTAAAGTGTGTGTTACGACTTTAAAAGCATGTTACTCATCAGATTTAAGTTGGTAGCTAGACATCCTTGTTTTATTACTGGCCTCACACAAAGAACTGTTCTAGTCACTGAGCAAGGAAGAGCATCTGAAAGACTTTCAGTGACGAGCAGTTCCCATGGGCTTTCTCTTATGTACGTCCTATGTGCTAAATCTTCTGAGTCTGCTCTTCTATTTTTAGGCTCAGTGTTGTTCTCAGTTCACAATATAGACCTCTTAGGCTTAACTAAATATATGAAAAGAGAATAAATTGTTTGGTTTGATGGGCCCATTCGGTGTGCCTGTGCTTCAGGCTGTGGCTAGAATGTGTATTCAAGACTCCATCGTGCCCTTTTGAAAGTCACACATATAATATCAGGCCTTGGTAAATTGGTTTGAAAGAAGCCAGTCTGAATCTAAAATGTTGTAAAAGGAGTGGGCCATGTCCTGCTGCCCGGCTAACTTATCCCCCGAAATAATCACACAGAAATTATATTGATTAAATTACTGCTTGGCCCATAAGCTTTGGCCTCTTATTGGCTAACTCTCACATCTTGATTCAACCCATTTCTAATAATCTGTATGTCACCATGAGGTCGTGGCTTACCAGGAAAGATTCAGCATGTCTGACCTGGCAGCTAACTCCATGGAGGCAATCTCTGCCTGCCTTCTTCCCAGCATCCTGTTCTGTCTACTCCGCCCACCTAATTTTCTGCCCTCTCAAAAGGCTAAGGCAGTCTATTTATTTAACCAATGAAAGTAACACATAGACAGAAGAACCTCCTACACCACTAAAATAAGCTGGATTTAGCATCAGATAAAACAAAAATCACTTTTACTGACCAAGTGAACAAAATCTTATTTTTCTATTAATTTTTATTGTTATATAAGAGCATGTTAGTGTACCCATATGAGAAAGTTTAGTTTTAGAATAAAATTTTGTATTTAGTATCAGTGAAACTAGTGAAATTTCTTTTCTTTTTAGTACGGGTCATTGAGAATGTTGGAAAAGTAGATATTGTCCTGCAAAAGAGAGAAAATATTTCTTGGAAATGTCTTGGTCAGCCCTTGGAGAAGCATGATTCCTTTATCCCAAAGAAAGATACAGGTATGCAGTACTCTTTTTTTTTTTTTTTTTTTTTTTAATTTATTTATTTATTAAGGATTTCTGCCTCGTCCCCACAACCGCTTCCCATTTCCCTCCCCCTCCCCCGATCAATTCCCCCTCCCTCATCTGCTCGAAGAGCAATCAGGGTTCCCTGACCTGTGGGAAGCCCAAGGACTGCCCACCTCTATCCAGGTCTCGTAAGGTGAGCATCCAAACTGCCTAGGCTCCCACAAAGCCAGTACGTGCAGTAGGATCAAAAACCCACTGCAATTGTTCTTGAATTCTCAGTATTCCTCATTGTCCGCTATGTTCAGCTAGTCCGGATTTATCCGATGTTTTTTCAGACCTAGGCCAGCTGGCCTTGGTGAGATCCCAATAGAACATCCCCATTGTCTTAGTGTGTGGGTGCACCCCTCGTGGTCCTGAGTTCCTTGCTCGTGCTCCGTCTCCTTCTGCTCCTGATTTGGACCTTGAGATTTCTGTCCGGTGCTCCCGTGTGGGTCTCTGTCTCTGTCTCCTTTCATCGCCTGATGAAGGTTAATATTCCTGAGGATGCCTATGTGTTTGTCTTTGGATTCACCTTCTTATTGAGGCTGAGAAGCTTCTGTAAAGCAAAGGACACTGTCACTAAGACAAAAAGACAACCCACTGACTGGGAGAAGATCTTCACCAACCCTGCAACTGACAAAGGTTTGATCTCCAAAATATATAAAGAACTCAAGAAACTAGACCGTAAAAGGCTAATCAACCCAATTATAAAGTGGGGCACTGATCTGAACAGAGAATTCTCAACAGAAGAACTTCAAATGGCCAAAAGACACTTAAGGTCATGCTCAACTTCCTTAGCGATCAGGGAAATGCAAATCAAGACAACTTTAAGATACCACCTTACACCTGTCAGAATGGCGAAAATAAAAAACAGCAATGATAGCCTTTGCTGGAGAGGTTGTGGAGAAAGGGGTACACTCACCCATTGCTGGTGGGAATGCAAACTTGTGCAACCACTCTGGAAAGCAGTGTTTCGGTTTCTCAGGAAATTCGGGATCAACCTACCCCTGGATCCAGCAATACCACTCTTGGGAATATACCCAAGAGAGGCCCTATCATACAACAAAAGTATATGCTCAACTATGTTCATGGCAGCATTGTTTGTAATAGCCAGAACCTGGAAACAACCTAGATGCCCTTCAACGGAAGAATGGATGAAGAAAGTATGGAATATATACATATTAGAGTATTACTCAGCAGTAAAAAACAAGGACTTCTTGAATTTTGCATACAAATGGATGGAAATAGAAAACACTATCCTGAGTGAGGTAAGCCAGACCCAAAAAGAGGAACATGGGATGTACTCACTCATATTTGGTTTCTAGCCATAAATAAAGGACATTGAGCTTATAATTCATGTTCCTAGAGAAGCTAAATATGCAGTACTCTTATTTCTTATATTTGTTTTGTAAAGGTTTTCAGTAGCATTTTATTTATTTGGCATGTCTCTGTGTGGGCACACATCCATACAATGGTTTTCATGTGGAGGTCAGGGGACAGTCTGCATGACTTGGTTCTCTCCTACCACATGGGTCCTGGGGATCAAACTCGGGTTGTCAGTCTTGACTGCAAGAACCTTTACCCACTGAGCCAATCCACTAGCCCATCTTTAAAAAAAAAAATACCTGATGGTGTTCCAGTGTTTCCTTTTCTCTGTGTGACCTTTCATCGCACAATCTCGTTTGTTGTTTGTTTTGATGTTCCATACCAGATGCCGTCTTTGATATTTCTGATCTCATATCTGCTCATGTTTCAGCTGGTAACAGCTGTGCATAAAGGGTTGGGCTTGTTGCCAGTATATTCCCTGTGCAGATGAGTGTTTTCTCTGAGGACAGTTTGATGCCAGGATTTGTGAGTCTCCTGGGAACAGTATTCTCCCCTCACACAGTCTTTGGAAGGCTTGTCTGCAAAGAAAGCTGCAGTTCTATAAATGCGACTTAGTCTCATCCTTCTCTTCCTCCTGTTTTTGTTTGGTTTTTGGTGTTGGTTTTTTGTTTGTTTCTTTGTTTGTTTTTGTCCGATTCCCCCCCCACCCCCCACTAGAATACTGTCTTAGTTAGCTAAAGTACTATGACTGCTGATCATAGCTTAAGAACAGAATTTATTTTCTCTCAGTTGTGGAGTTTATAAGTACAGTCATGGTATTGGCAGGATTAGACTCTTCTAAGGCCCCTCTGCTTGGCTTGTGTGCTTTTCTGAGTGTGTGTGTGCGTGTGAGTGTGTGTTAACTTTCTGGAAAGGGACACGATTGCCCTCACTGTCTTCAAATGTAGTTACAGTCCAAGGTCCTGGCTGCTACAGTTTTGCCACTCTAATGAGAGGACACAGTCTCCTCGAGTGCATGCCCAATCCACAGACCCTGTGCTACTTTGTAATTAGATTAGAGGGCCCATTGCACGGCTGTGCTAAGTAGGAGAGAGCTTAAGTGGGGTGGCGAGCATCTGAGCCCTTAAACTTTTAACCCGAAAGTTTCCATTTTACCTTTTTCTGATGTTAGCAGTGGTGGGTCCTGCTAACCTCAGGGCATTAAAGGGATTTTTTTCTGTTAAAAGATTCCAGTCTGCTGCTGCTTACATTTCTGGTTTAGGATTCCACTTTCTCAGGTCTGCTGAGTTAGTCACTAGTCATCTGCTTTTTTTCTAGTTCCCAGCATTTTTTTTCTTTTTCTTATTTTACATACCAATCCCAGTCTCCTCTCCCTCTCCTCCTCCCACTGCCTGCACCTTTCATGCACCCCACCCCCCATCCACTCCTTAGAGATGGCGAGGCTTCCCATGGGAGTCAACAAAGGCTGGCACATCACTTTGAGGCAGGACCAAGGCTCTCCCACCATATCAAGGCTGAGCAGGGTATCCCTCCAAAGAGAATGCGTTCCAAAAAGTCAATTTAAGCACTAGGGATAAATCCTGGTCCATCCCACTGCCAGTGGTCCCACAGATGCCCCAGCCATATATCTGTCACCCACATTCAGAGGGCCTACTTTGGGCCTATGCAGCCACCCCCCTCCCGTCAGTCTGGAGTCAGTGAGCTGTGGGTTTCCCCATCATGGTCTTGATGCCTTTGCTCATATCCATCCTCCCTCTCTTTGTTTGGACTCTGGGAGCTCAGCCCAGTGCTAACTGTGGATCTCTGCATCTGCTTCCATCAGTTGCTGGATGGAATTTCTATGATGACAATTAAGGTAGTCATCAATCTGATTACAGGGGAAGGCCAATTCAGGTTCCCTCTCCACTATTGCTTAGGGTCTTAGCTGGGGCAGCTGAGATGGGAAAAAAGGACAGAGAGGGAGAACAAAGAAAGAGACATCTTGATTGAGGGAGCCATTATGGGGATAGTGAGAAACCTGGCACTAGGGAAATTCCCAGGAATCCCAGCATTTATTTTCATCCCTCCTGTTCTTTCTGTCCTTGTAGATGTATGACCTAAGCAACCAAGCATATATGTGCAGTCTGTTGCAGTCATTTAGTGGATTCAGATGGTAACTCTTTGTATTCAACTAAACATCTTTTAATTTTTAAAGTTATTACAAGCTATGGAAATTCAAAATAACTTCTACTCTCATGATTCAATATAGAACTAAAAATGTGTGTGAGTTTCGCCCCACCAATAACCAATTACCTAGTGATTCCAGTTGGGTATCCTAGAGTCGGAATCAATCCTGATACTAAGTAGAGGCTAGTGCAGACCCCATAGTTAAGGACTTGGTTCCGTGAACTTCCCAAACTTCTGGTGCCCATCATAGTTCCCAGGTTCTGTACTTTTAGTAAACCAACATTAGAGTTTTCACTGCCCCCACCTTGGGTTAAAAAAAAAAATGTGCTAGAGTGTTTTGCAGAACTCAGACAAGCATTGTACTTATGCATTTATTATAAAGGACACAGAGGATTGTGAGAAGTGTAGAGCTTCTATGCCATCTATAGCTAGGCCGCTCCCCAGGCATCCCGTGTGTCCAGCAAATGTTAGACTTTCTGAACTCTGTCCTGGGGGTTCCTGTTACACATCACTGACCATTACAGTTCAGCATTCGGGCCCCATCCAGAGTCTGTACAGAATCTACTAAGAGTCACCTCCTTAGAACAAAGATCCTGTCATGCTGGGCATTCAAGTGATTTGCAGTTCTGCATCAGCCATACCCATCCCTGGGAAATTACAAAGACTTCAAGAACTAGAGTGAAGGCCAACTTCCCATGGCTGTCGCTCTGTGTCAGAAACTGGAGGCAAAAGCCAGTGTCTTTTTTATTATTTCTCATTATAAATATACATTTATGGGTAATTTGTGTTTCAATCAGACATCCTGTTTTTTTGAGTGATGTCATATGTTGAAGACTGATTTAGCATTGTGCTATGAAACAGAAGCAGAAATTATGTTCCCAGGAAGGAACAAGAACATATAACAAACATAAAATGGAGAAACAAGCCTACAAGGGTGAGTTATGCAGTCCAAACACAGCACGCTTTAAGGGAGTCTTACATAAAAAGACAGGTGAATTTGATATCGAGTGACTACCTACAGAAGGTGGACTTCAAATGTTTTGGAAGGGGAATCCATAGCTTTCACAAAAGCAGCAATCTTCAGGGGATGTTTGGGGGAAAGCTGCACATCCTTACCAGCGGTTTTGTGCCAGGCACTGTACAGGTTATAGAGGGGAAATTTTTAAGATTATATGGGACACTTTAAACCACTTTGATTTTTGCCATAGCAGTGTGCTGTGAGCCTTGTGGTATTAGGTAGGGGAAGAACACAGAAGACGTGGCCTAATGTAAAGATCCAAGAGAACGGGGTGGGGCACTGCCACCTGAAAAGAGAACAGAGCCTGTTGCCCAGGATTATCTGCTCCTAGTGACAGAGGAGTCCTAGGCCGCCAGATAAAAGCCTAGTCAAAAATCAGTGATTCTGAAAACCAAGGCTAACCTTCATTTGAAGATAGAATCACCATCATTGAACTGCTTAC